GACACACCTGCAATCCCAGCACTTAGGAAGCCGAGGCAGGAACATTACTGCAAGTTTGAAGCCAGTTTTGGCTATATAGTGAGTTCAAGGCCAGCCTCAACTACTTAGGGGAGACCCTGTCTCAAAACAACACAACACAATATAACCGCACAAAAGATTGAGGGGAAAAAAACAAAAGAAAGAAAAAGGGCTGTCTACATAGCTCAGCAGATTAAAGCGCCTGCAAGCATGCGAAGAGGTTGGCAATTCGATCCCCAAGTCTGCCAATCTGGCCCATCCCCGGGGTGCACTGAGACTGAGATTGAGACTGGGCACAGTGGCACATGCCTGTAATCCCAGCTCTTGGGAGGCTGTAAACAGGTGGATCACTGTGAGTCCGATGTACTGAGACCCTGAACACTCTGTAGACCCTTCCCTAAAAATACAAAAAGAAAAAATAATTTCACTAAAAAACCCTAAAAGATTAAGGAGTGCAATGGCTGATGCATTGTGTCAACTGAAGTTTATTTTAGTTGTTGTTGTACTGGGGAGCGAACTTGGAACTTTGCTCCCAACCTTGTACTTGCCATGCAGGCAGGTGCTTATGCAGCTGAGCTTTCTCCTAGGCCAGCCATTTAACTTTAGAAATGTAACTAAGTAACTCAGCAGGTTTGTGTCCTAGAGCGATGAGGGCATGCCCTAGGGGGGCTGTTTACAGACCAGAATGTTGCAATGCTTGATTTATTGTGTTAATTTGAGACATTTAGAAGTTTAACAAGTGACTCAGCAGGGGGCCAGGGTCCTCACTTGTAAACATTGTGAGCGCGCCAAGAGAAGGGCGCAAAGGTGGTGTCTAATGCCTGCTCTAGGTGCAGTCTCGAGCAATATAAAGGAGAAAGAGGCCTGCTTCTCCCTTTCTTTCCGGTTGCTTTTGAGCCTTCTGCCACCTTACACCGTCGCTCCTCTGCCAAGCCACTCTGCTTAGAGCCAGCTGAGTATAGACTGAGACTTCCACAAACTGAGCTAAATAAACCATCCTTCTTTAATTCAGAGTATTGGGTATTTTGTCTCAAGTAATGACAGAAAAGTAACCAAGACAAGGATGCTCTCAGGGGAAATTAGACAGAGGAGAAGGGCCAAATTCTCATGCTCTGTTCTGGCTGGAGGGAAGACCTGGCCCAGCTGATGACTGTGTTCTTCCCCTTCTCCTTTCTTTGTTCCCTCTTACCGCTTCTCCCAAGGGGCCAGAAGCGGGTGCCTCGGTGACCTCTGTAGGTTCAAGCCACTGTCTCCACTCCACCACGAGTATAGCCAGACAGGTACATGGTGGCCCCACTCCCACTACTCTACACAGTAAGGTAGCCTTTTTGAAGAAGAGAGGGGGGTGGCTAAGATCTGGGAGGGAGGGATGGGCCCTTCATTGCATCTGTAACATTCGTGGCAAGCTTTAAACCCTGTCCCTCCCTGAAACAGGCCTGCAAGTGTAATGTAAGCAGCAGTCCCTAGCCAATTCTCTGGCTTTAGTCTAGGAGGACTTCCTCCTGAGGACTGCCCCCTTGTGCTGAAGCACTGGCCCTGTTAAAATAAAGACTTGAAAGTTTAATTAAAAAAAGACCTGATCTGGTGTTCTTATAAAATAATACAGCAGCTATTCTGTCCACCACACTCAAGATAAGAATCGAGATTTGCAAGGCTCGGCAAGCGCGGGCTCCTGAGAAATCAGTCACAAGCAGCTTGAAAGGACTGCTGGGGTAGGTAGGCCTCCAACAAGGCCCGTGCAGCTGCAGAAGCCCAGCAGACTAGAGGCAGCCCTGCTAGCACAGCATGGAATGTGTGGCAGGAACGGAACAGATGCAGCCACAGAGCCCTGTGCTCGGTCACAGTGTAGGTCTGTGACTGACCCAAGTTTAGGTCTTCTGCCTGATCCAAGTGTGTTGCCACGATGGGCTGAAACAGTCTCAGTCTATGATGGCAGTGACTGAACACCAGAACAGGGTCCACGAGCTGACAGAGCTGGCGCTTCTTCATGAAAATTGGTTAGGTCCAGGGCCGGCCACATAGCTCAACAGATTAAAGCATCTGCTTAGGTAGATGCAGAAGCTGGGGGTCCAATCCCTGGGCCTGCCCTGCCGGCCCTACCCCCAGGGCACGCTAAAACAGCGAATGAGACAAGGCGTGGTGGAGCCTGCCTATAATCCCAGCACTTGGGAAGCTGTAAACAGGAAGATCACTATGACTCCGATTTATGCAGTGAGACCCTGCAGATCCTGTCCTAAAAATACAAGAAAACAAAACAAAATTTTAAAAATGGTTAGGTCAAAAATCAGAAAATCTTTAGAAGGGTAAGCTGTTTATTTATTTTTTAAAATTTTTTTATTTATTTGTGTGTGTGTGTGTGTGTGTGTGTGGCCAGCTCAGCCCACTAGGGGGCAGGGCTGGCTGGCATGTGGTGCTGGGGGATTGAACTGTGGTCCCTGTGCTTTGCCAAGCTTGTTCCAAGTAGGTGCTTTAGACCACTGAGCCATCTCACCAGCCCCGGGTAAGCTGTTTATTGCAGTTAATTTCAATTTGAAAAGCTTAGGGAAGTGATTAATGGACCGGATTCTTTTCAAATTTTTTCCACACTAGGGGCAAGGATACTTACAAATCAACAGAATGGGGCCTGGCTTCTACTTAGCTCTCGGTAAGTATAAATGACCCCGCACATCCCTGCCTATGTGCCACCTCTGACAGGATGAAGAGGGCCCCTGCCTTCACTATCCTAGCTGTCTCCTCTGGGCCCATGTGGCCCATCTGCTAGGGCAGGTGGGGCCAGGGCAGCTTGTGCCCCCACATGGCCAGGATCCTGAGCATTATGTGTAAGAGTACTGAGACAAAATATCTGGCACCCACCACCTTAAGAAAGAAACGTTTAATTTAGCTAATAGATTCAGGAGGTTTGGTCCATGGTCCATTGATTCCAAAGCAAAAAGTGCCTGAGAGAAGGCTATGGTGGGGCACAGCTATTTAGCTCACAAGACCCTGGAGCTCAGCAAGAGCAAAGTCCCTGAGAGGAATGAGGGAGTACTATGTGCAGTCACCAGTGTCACAGCTCCGTGATCCTCCCAGATGCACCCAGGAGCATGCTTTACTAATCTGCTGGGTCTTTCTTAATTCAGCGAGGCTGATCTAGCTGATGATCTGGTTGATCCAGCTCTGCAAGCACCAGCAGTCTAGCCCCGCTGGTGAGGTACATTTTTCAGAGACTTAAAAGAACAACGTGCCTCCAGGCTCAAAGAGCACCTGCAAACTGAAGGGCTACTCAGACAGGTCAAGCTTAGCAAGGAAAATATTCTTGAGGGCTTCAACAGTGGTGGATGGCTGGGAGGCTGCAGCACTGCCAAAAAGCCAACCCTCGATGTTAGGCTACAGGGTTTTCTCTTTTGGGGGGAGGGGTACCAGGAATCGAACTCAGGCCCTTGGGTTTGCCCAGTGGGACCTGCACCACTGAGCTATTTCCTCAGCTTCTTGGCAAATGATTCTGTAGAGCACCAACTAAAACAGCAAAAGCAGGATCAAATCCAGAAAGGTCCTTGGGAGAAGCTACGCACACTCTGCGCACAGGCCATCCTTACCAGGAAGCCCCGCCATCACGGTGAGGCCTCTCCAGCCAGCCACGGCTCACCGCATCAATCTGCACACAGCCTTGGCGCGCAGCCGTAGGGGGAGTCAGCAGCCCACTGAACATTTCTTTTTTTTGTATTTTAGGGAAGGGCCTACAAGAGGTTCCTTCATCTTTGGGGGTACGGGCACATTACCTGCTTTGGCTAAAAGCTGAGCACTGGCCACAGAAATGGTGTGGATTACAGCAGCAAATGCTTACTCCTAACAGCAACCAAGTAGAGTCTAGCCTATGTGCGAAGACATGGTACACATTTACGTGATCTGCCACGAGCACCTGCCTTTTGATGTTTACGTCGCATCAGCCTCATCATCTGGGGTTGCGCAAAGCACGTCAGGCCAGTGAGGGCATCGGTGCCTCCCCGGGCTGCAGTCAGCATGCAAGCCCACTGTTTCGCAACCCTATTTGTGCCTGTGCTTTTCCCGGGGTCAAACAGAAGGTGCCCGCATGCATACAGTTCTGCACTCTGGCAGTAAAGTTGGCAACAGCCTATATGTGAACTAGTATCCCATGGCCCTGCACAGAAAGTGTTGGATGTCACTATCAGGCCTTTCCCTAGTGAAAGTGGGCCTCAGGGCAGGCAGACGAGTGTATCTGCCACTCCTGTTCAAGGCCAGCATGGTGTCCTTTGGGTCAGGACTCCTAAATCATCGGCCCCAATAGGGACTTTAATTCCAGGTTATATACGTTTCAGGCATCCATAGTAACCATATTACCTCATTTTCAGGAATTTTACAAAAATGACACACAATTGCCACAAGGTTTACATTTCCCAGACATAGTGGATAGAAAAATCTATCCCTCTGGACCTCCAAAGCAGTCAGAACTGGCAGAGTCTACAATGTCTGGGTTGCCTGAGCCTCCGCCACTGGGTGTCCTGGAGGCTGGACTGCAGCTAGCAGCTCGGCCAGCGGCCCTCCCCTCTGTCCTGTTCCCGCCTGCCCACCCCGCCCCAGCTGGGTTAGACAAAGCATGTATGTGGACCTGCTCTGTTTAGGGGCCTGGTCAGGAGCCAGGCTCCAACAGCAAAGCACTGAGGTTATTTTTCTACCTTTGGTCTAGTCTATGGCGACACCTTGTATCTAGATGTTCCCCCCGAAAGCTGCACGCAGTCACAGCGGGGCTTTTCAGAGGGGGCTGGACCTAGAGTGTGGGATTACTGGATCAGTCCACTGATAGGTTTGGCACAGTACTGCGTGTGGACGGGACAGCCCACCCTGCATGTGTGCGTGCTACCCACCCTAAGGGCCTGCAGGCTGCCTATGAAGGACAGAGAGCATTGTTGTAGCTGGTGCTTGTGTGCTGCTTGCTACCTCTGCTGCCATGAACTGTTTCTCCTCTGTGACACCCCTCTCCCATGCCTACCTGGCCTGGAGCCAGCCAACTATGAACTGTAAGCTAAACAAACCTTTTTGCCTTTAATTTGGGGTGCTGGGCAACGAAATCTAGCACCGCCCACCTCACTGCACACCTGACCTTTGCTTTCGCAGGATGGTCAGTCCCTGTGCCGCCCCACATCCCGCCTCCTACTTTGGTGCTAGGAAACCTCCAGCCCTGAGAGCTGTCCTGTGCCCTATGCTAGGGTACCGCACACACAGGGACCCACTCACCAGGATCCTGAGAGGCCAGGTGAGTGCTGCGTGGGGCTGGCTGTTCAGATGGCCTGCGCTGCCTGCTCCTGTCCCTTACACTCTGGGAGGGGAGAGCAGCCCAGCCCCTTGGGTTTCTAGGCTCCTGTGTGATCTCTGGCTGTGGCCTCTCCCCTCCTTGTTCCTTCCCTGATGCTGGCCCATCGCACTAGGTTCCCTTTTGGTCAGCGATTGCTCCTTATTTTTTGAGACGGGGTCTCACTATGTTGTTGAAGCTAGACTTAAACTCACTGCAGTCCTGCCTCAGTCAACCAAGTGCTGGGATTGCAGGCATGCACCACCATGCCCAGCTAGTATTGGCATTTTGCTCATTTACAAACAAGGCTGTGCATCTCCCACAAAACACACACACACACACACACACACACACACACACACAGTTGCTCAGTTTTCTGCACAGGTGGGATTTCAGGCCGGGCCCAGCTGGGAGCCCCCAGATGCGAACACCCCAGGACCTGGGGAAGTAGCCAGTATGGCAAGCAGCCCTGGGTGGGGGTGGGGTGGGGCAGGTGCTGCAAAGGGAAGTAGAAAGATACACTGGTCCCAGCAGCCGGAGGCTGCTCGCTCCAGCCAAACCCACTGGCATCCCTCAGCCTGCAGCCAAGGCAGAGGCGAGACCACCGCCCTGGAGGCGGCTCTGCCTCCAACCCCAGCAGCACTTACTTGCTCAAAGAGTTTGGCACAGTGCTCAGCCTCCTTGGCCTTAGTGACCCATCTGAGAGCACTGGGCAGGGGCACTAAGGGAAGCCTTGTCTCTGGCCCCTGAGGCAGCAGCATGGGGCCGGTCAAGGACACCTCCCGCCCCCCACTGGCTTACGTGAAGGGGGTCCCGCTCATCAAGTACTTCGAAGAGGCCATAGAGCCTCTGCAGAGCTTCCAGGCCCGGCCCGATGACCTGCTCATCAGCACCTACCCCAAGTCGGGTAAGCGAGGAGGCCAGCCTGCCCCTGGGCTGTGGTCCCTGTACGTTGGGCAAGGCCTGGCCCCCAGCCCTGTGCACCTGTATGTTCCCTCTCTTCTCAGGCACCACGTGGATGAGCGAGATACTGGACATGATCTACCAGGGTGGTGACCTAGAGAAGTGTCGCCGAGCCCCCACCAACATACGGGTGCCCTTCCTTGAGTTCAAATGCCCGGGGGTTCCCTCAGGTGTGTCCTGGTGACTGGGGACAAGAGAGGTGGAGGGAGCAGGGCTTGCTCCAGCTCAGCAGCTCTCCCTTGCCCGTGCCTTAGGGCTGGAGACTGTGCGAGACACCCCGGCCCCACGGCTGCTCAAGACGCACCTGCCTGTGGCCCTGCTCCCCCAGAGTCTGCTGGATCAGGTCAAGGTGAGTGCACAGGGACAGTCCCAACTTTGGTCCTGTTCCATGGGGAGGGCTTCCTTGAGCCTTGTCTAACGCCCTACAGGGAGGCCCCGTGCCAGGTGCTCTCGGGATTCATAGACCGGGAAAACAAGACTCTTCAGGGAAAACAAGAGACTGGTAGTCCAGGCACTCACAGGCCTGCAGAGGACAAGGGTGGTGGGAACCCTCCTGTCTTGTTCCAAATCTCAGTGTGGCACTAAAAAGGCTCAGAGCAGTACCAAATACAGCTCCTGGGCCCAGCCGGCATGGTGCCACCAAAGCAGAGTGAGAGCCCCGCTCAGTGCTACCCACAGGAGGACATCTCTAGGAAGTCAGCCCGCAACCTGCTTCCTCTGCCCCACGGAGACGACCTCCTCCAGCGGTGCCTGGAGCATGACCGGCCCGTAGTCTGGGGAGCAGGTGTGCTTTTGGGGCGTGCTGCATGCTGAGGGCGAGTAGCATTTGGCCACCTGCTCCCACAGGTGCTCTACGTTGCTCGCAATGCAAAAGACGTGGCCGTCTCCTATTACAACTTCTACAAGATGTGCAAGTTGTACCCAGAGCCCGGCTCCTGGGACAGCTTCCTGCAGAAGTTCATGGGGGGCGAAGGTGAGTCTGACGACAGAAGGATGGTGCTGGAGCCGAGGGACCATCATCCAAAATTAATCTCCACCTATGTCAGATGCGCCCTGTCCCCTTCCTCAGTGTCCTACGGGTCCTGGTACCAGCATGTGCAGGAGTGGTGGGAGCTGAGCCACACTCATCCTTTCCTCTACCTCTTCTATGAGGACATAAAGGAGGTGAGACTGCTGCCCCCCTACATGACTAGAACCTCCATGGCCTGCAGAAACCCTCTCATCAGTGACCCTGTGGCCGCCCCAGCCACCCATGACCTCCCCCTGCCCTCCAGGCTCTGGCCAGTCCTCGGCCACAGTACCTCCACCAGCAGCAGCACATGCACTGCCCAGCACCTGGCCTGGAGGAGTGTGCCCCGCTAAGTGCACAGTGACAGAGACGCCTCTCCCTCCCCCCCTCTTGGAGCAGCCACGCAGGGCTCACTCCAGGACCCCGGGTGGGACTGACTCACTCTGCCACGGGGAAGAGGCCCCGTCAGAGGTGGGGCTGAAAGGCTGCTCTGCGGGAGTAACCCCTCCCTTGGGAGGTCACAGAGGGGACCCCATGTTTCCTTGATGAACAACTTAATGAGTGTGTCTGCTTTCCCAGAACCCCAAAAGGGAGCTGCAGAAGATCCTGGAGTTCGTGGGGCGCTCCCTGCCCGAGGAGACCATGGATCTCATCATCCAGCACACATCCTTCAAGGAGATGAAGAAGAACCCCATGGCCAACTACACCAGCATACCCACTGAGGTCATGGACCACACCGTTTCCCCCTTCATGAGGAAAGGTGAATGCTGGGCCATGGGGGTTCTGGGGAGAGGAGCGAGAAACGGGTCACCACGGCCTCCTCTGTGGCCTGGACTCAATCTCTTTGTTTCTGTCCCAGGCACTGTGGGGGACTGGAAAAGCACCTTCACTGTAGCCCAGAATGAGCGCTTTGATGCCCACTACGCAGAGAGGATGGCGGGCTGCAGCCTGCGCTTCCACTGGCAGCTCTGAGTGCCAGACTAGGAAACCGTTCCAGGGCTGACAACCGGCCCGGCCCTGGGTAGAAGAATAAAGTGCGATGTGGCAAGCCAGGCCTCTGTTGCAAGCAGGAAAGAATGTGAGCTACAGAGCAGGTCCCAGGGACACCAGAGGCCGCCCTCCCCTCCGCCGGTCCCCAGCACACCAGCTGCCTTGTTTTGATGAGGGCGTGAGGCCCAGGAGTCATGGGTGGGGATAAGTATTTATTTGCTCAAAGAAAATCCCTTTTGGTCGTTGGAGGTCTGCAGGCAGCAGCCGGCCGTGTCTGCCAGCCTTCTTCACTTTTTCTTAGGCTCCTTACATGCCACAACATACCTCTGCGCCACGTTGAGAGGTGGGGAGTAGCCATCTGCGTAGGACGTGTCTTCAAACAGGACAGAGTAGTCATCCTGGGGCTGGCAGGGGAGACACAATGGGCTGGTGAGTGGCCTCCAGGCTCGGCCTGCCTTGGGCCCAAGCCTTGGCGCAGCAGAAGACACACAGGGTGTCCACTCCCAGCTTATCCTGGCCTCATCTTCACCCCGAGTCAAGAGGCTCAGAGGGTCACCTCAGTTCTGTGGGTGAAGGGCCGGGGATAAAGAGGAAGGAGAGGGGGCCTCGCCTCACCAGACCTGGGCAACAGCTGTAAGGGAGCTGCTGCATATGCGAGCCCTTGTTAAAGGGATCCAGGCCAAGCCAGAAGAGCAGAGGCAGCAAGAGGGCAGGAAACTGCCTCTAGGGTGCAGCTGGTAACACAGGACCAATGCCGGTGTAGGAAGAATTCTGGACAGCGCAGGCTGGGCTCGGGTTCCACCGACTGCTAAAGTCAAGTCTGAGAGCAGGCCCAGCAGCTTGCCCAATTGGGGATGGCTAAGGTTGCCAGGCTGGATGGAAGCGGCTCCAGGACAGACACAGACAAGCAGGAGTAGGGGCACCCTCGGGCATGGAAGAGGTGCAGAAAGGGACACAGGACACATACCAGGGGCCCAAAAGGCCTCTCTGCGCACAGACGCCTTACCCGCTGTGGGGGGGTGTGGATCAGTGCCCGGTAGAAGCAGGTGGTCTGTGGGTACAGAGCCAGCACTAGCTGCTCCTTCTGGAACAAGGCCTCTGGGTCTGTCTCAGGGTTGGCCTTCCACTGCGGCAGTGGGATGATCCGCCGGCGGCTGAGTGTGTGTCTCCTGGGGGCGAATGTGTCAGGCCACAGCTAGGGAGAAACCTCCCGAGACGCCCAGCTGCCCGCCCCCTCAGGGACACTCACTCTTTGCCTTCTTCATCAATGTCATCTACTTCATACCTGTGGATGACAGGAGGAAATGAGCAGGTGCCGTCAGAGCCCCAGGCCAGTTGGGGAGTCGGCGGGATGAGGGAGGGGGCTGGGTGGGCCACAGGCCACCGTGATGTGGAATGCTTCAGACAGGTAGAAGGTGGCAAGGAAGGTGTGGCCAGGGCAGACAGGGGTCTGCTCACTTGTTGGTGGCATGGCTGTAGCTGACCACCTCAGCCAGGATCCACTGCTCATCCCCGTCCATTGCCTTCACCCGTGCAGCAACCTTGTCTCCAGGCTTGGCCACATAGTCTCCCGACGCTGGGATGGCCCCGCACAGAGGTGGGGGCCTGGGGGGACAGGGAGCGTCAGTCTGGCCCTGTGACACCAGCCGCCCCCGTGCCAGCCCTGCCTCACTTGTCACCAGGCTTCCCGATCCACAGAGGCAGGGTCATGGCTGACTGCTGCAGCAGGGTCATCAGCACCCCTCTCCTCATGGTCTTCCGTGGGGGCTCCGAGTCATTGTAAAGACCTGCAATCTTGGCCGCTGTGGGGAGGAAGGGAGGCCCTGAGACCTGCCTGGCACCCTGCAGGTGCTGCAGAGCTCAGCGGGGAGCCCTGCACTTCTAGGGACCACCCCTGCCCCTCCTCCAGCTGTCCAAGGTTGGAGACTGGCAGCTACACTGCCAGACTGGAGACAAAAGCACAGTGGGCCCTGGGGAGAAGGAACGGGATGGCGCCACACTGGGGCTTCTGAGGTGCTCATTCACCTCCGCTTATTCTTTTTCCTCCAGTTCTAGGGATTGAAGCCAGGGCAGCACCCACGCCAGGCAACCACTCTACCCCTCAGCCACACCCTGGCCCCTTGAAGATCTTGTTTTGATACTGAGTCTCACTGTATTACTGAGGCTGGCCCAAACATGCATGTTCCTCCTGTCTCAGCCTCTCAGTAGCTGCGAGCAAAGGTCTGAACCGTTGCGCCTGGCTCACGTTCTAGGTGGGTGGTCACAAAAGTGTGCAAGCTTCCTTCAAGTTTCCTATGGCCAAAACATTACACTAACTTTTCTACAAATACACGTTGTATTCAACCAAACACTGACAACCACAGGATCCACTGGGGCCCTTCAGCCTCTCAGCCTTGGCACAACACACCTGCTACGAGGACCCAGATGGCAACGGATCAGCACAGACAGTGAGGCATCTGCCCACCGTTCCAAGAGATGAGAAGGCCCAGGCAATGGTGACTGGAGCCAGCATGCTTGGGAAGCCAGCATGCTCGGAAAGCACCTTTCACCTGACTTAAGGACTCAGGGCTTTTCTGAATCCTCAGGTTATTACTGCACCAAGAAACACAAGACCAGACCAGGGAGGGAGGGACAGGACCAGCCTGGGGCATGGGTGCAGAGAACGTGAGTGCTGGGGGTGGATTCCCAGTGTTTAGGGGAAGTGAGGGACACCCTGCCTGGACACTTTGTCAGGAACCCCGTGGAGTGACTGTCGGGGTGCGAACAGGGCCCCCTCCAGGACGCCTGCGCTGTCTCACTCTGCCTGGTCAGGAAACACCTGCATGTGCTCTCCCACTCACCAATCCTCCTCTCTTCCAAGAGAGACTTGATTTCAGCGATCTTGTCCAGGGCCTTCCGGAGGATGCTACGAGCAGGAAGGGGACAGAGAAGTTGGTGAGGCAGATGGCATGGCTTCCTTTCCTGCTGATGGCCAAGTTCCTGAGGTCAGTGCTGCAGCTGGAAGCTACTTACTCTAAGTGTAGTTATTCATGGCACAGAGACGGCAGACAACAACGGGCTGCATATAAAAGGTGGCCCTGTGAGGTTATCATGGAGCAGCCAAGCTGTCGTCTGGGCTCAGTCATCCTGATGTTGTACAACACACGCCCGAGGCGGTGCTGATATAGAGACCCTACTATCCTGCTCTCTTATGAGAGGTACACACCATAGAGTGTGCTGGGTGATGACGCTAAGCGACTACCAGGTTTGCTATCTACTATTTCACTTGTGCAAGTTGGAATGTTAACTGTGAGCACAGCGTGCGTCTGTTTACAGCACCTCCTCACTGCATCAATGCACCAGACAGGATGACCTAGAGCAGCAGTGGCAAACCACGTGGGCCACAGCCAGCTGCTTGTTACCACCGAAGTGCCAAAAGGTTCCCATCTAGGTTTATGAAAATGCCCAGGGACGTTTGCACAGTGAGAAAATTGCCCATGGACACATGTTGCAAAATATGTGGCCTCTGCACTGTGGATGTGTCTGTGTCTTTTTGTGGCTGTGCTTTCATGGCACTGGAGAGTGAACCCAAGGCTCTGTACACACACGCTAGGCAGGCAACCTACCATGGAGCAATCCCCCAGCCCTGTTTTTCCACCCTCAAAGCACAAATGGCAACATACCGGGACGTAGCAGGCTAAAGCCCCCAAGAGAAAGCTGAACCCCACAGTTATGTGGGGCAAGCAGGGCTGCTTTGCCCCGAGTACATCTGGTCCTGCAGAACTGCTTCAGCTTTCTTTAAAACTTTTTTTTTTTTTTTTTGCGGAACCGGGGATTGAACTCAGGTTCTTGAGCTTGCCAGGCAAGTGCTTATTCCACTGAGCTATCTCCCTGGCCCCAAACTTTTTTAAAAGTTTATTTGTGGGGCTGGTGAGATGGCTCAGTGGTCTAAAGCACCGACTTAGAACAAGCTTAGCAAAACACAGGGACCGCGGTTCAATCCCCCAGCACCACATGCCAGCCAGCCCCGCCCCCTGGTGGGCTGAGCTGGCCACACACACACACACACACACACACACACACACACACATATAAATAAATAAAATTAAAAAAAAAAGTTTATTTGTACAACTTTGATAGACACAATGATCACGTTCATGATAGACACAGTGATCACGTTCATCACAGGCAATCTGTACTACGCATGATGCGGTTTGCTCTTTTGTTTTCTAATCCCCTTGCATTCCTCAACCACTCTTCCTCTCATTTACAGCTTTATTTCCATTTTCCCTTTCTTTCATTGTTCTCCTTCCCCTTCCTAACCAGCTTTTTTAAAATTTATTTTATTTGTGGGGGGGGCCAGCTCAGCCCACCAGGGGGCGGGGCTGGCTGGCATGTGGTGCTGGGGATTGAACCGCAGTCCCTGTGCTTTGCTAAGCTTGTTCTAAGTAGGTGCTTTAGACCACTGAGCCATCTCACCAGCCCCCAACCAGCTCTTGAGATGAGGTCAGATATGACATCCCAGGGTCTGTCCTAGGTGGGACAGGTAAAAGCAGAACCCTGGGACCCTGGGCAACTGCCCTGGCTCAGAGAATCAGAGGGATGGGGACTCATCACCGCACGACCACAGGGGCACAGAGCCTGGCATGGACACAGGCCCAGGAACAGTGCAGGCCACCATCGGGCAGCTTCAGGCTTGGTCTCAGGAACTGTCCCCAGAGACTCTCAATGGTAGCCGGCAGCAAGGCCTCTGATGCAGGTCATCTTATTCTCGCCTCCTATGGTAAACCTCAGTCCAGTCCTCCAGCAAACATTCATTCAGTGCCCCACAGGATGGACGCAGGGGCACTGCCTGCTACCCCAGCTGCTCGAGAGCCTGAGGTGCGAGGAATGGAAGCTCAAAGCCAGCCTGGGCAATGTACAGGGTGTGATTAAAAAATATGGTTAACAGAAAATAAATAAAAACCTTACAGTAGAAGCCACATTGCCAAGAATGATGGGTATGTTTGAAGTATTACAAGGGGGATTAATGACAGTGTCCTTTAATAAATTTTATTTAAATATTCATTTTATTTTTAAACACACCTCAGACCTTGTTTGAAAACAAAATGTAAAGGGGCTGGTAGAGCACTTGCCTATAAGAAATTAGGGTCTGGGTTTAATCCCCAGAACAAAAGTCCTCATGACATAAAGGCCTCCATTAGGACCGTGAGCTTGGGAGCATCCAGAAGCCCTGGCTCTGTGGGGCGTGCCAGGAGGGGGCTGGCCACAGGAGCCCGGCGCAGGCCAGCAGCCAGGTGGGCCGGGAGGCCACTGGGCCCCCAGAGCTGAGCGCCAGGAATAAATCCAGGAGGCTGACGGCGATCTGCAGTAAGCAGCCTGGCCTGTTGGTGTAACAGCTATCTACGGACAACTGCTTCATGTTGCAGCAGTGGGAACCGAGCCCAGGGCCTTCCGATGGAGATACACCTTTGCTCCTTTTTAGCTCTTACTCTGAGACGGATCTTGCTAAACCATTAAATCGCCCGGGTTGACTCAATCCTCAGCCTCCCAAGTGCTGGATTACAGGGCATACGCCACCACACCCAGCTCACCTTTATATCTGAGTGAATGTCCTGACTTTGAGAACTGTACCATAGCTGTGTACAACTGTTTTCAGGAAGCACTGTTTTCAGAAAACTTGTTAGCGCATCCAGATTGTCATCCCGATCAACACTCAAGGACACGGGATCTCCCCACACGGACTACAGAAACCTTACGGCAGCTGAGCTGGCATCTCCCCGGCCTCGCTTGTAAGCTTTCCCAGCACGGTACTGACTAAAAGGCCTGGCTCACATGTAGGGAATAAATGTGTGAAGGTGTAAGTCTGAAAGAGTGAGACGGCGGCAGCATGTGAGGCGGGCCCTGCGTTTGCCAGCACGCTCGTGACAGTAACACTGAGCCAGGGACTGCCCACCCACGTGTTCCAGTCTCACTCTGCCCACAGTTGGGCTGAAAGGCACAGCTTACTTTTCACTCTCTGGTGAGGGGCTGGGGTGTGGCTCAGCATAGAGCTGCAAAGCGCGCACGAGGCCACAAGCTGGAATCACAGGTGCACGCAACACACACACACACACCTCTGACACAGCACAAATGGCTCTAACTGTACACCAGCCACTCCAGTCCAGGTGAGGAAAAAGGCCTGACTGGCCAGGTGATAATCTGCAAACTGGGGCTAGGGGGTGGGAAAGCTGGGCAACCGAGGAAGTAGCTGTTTCAGGGCGGCAGCAGCTCCATCAGAACTCACTGCCTCTTCCTCCAAATCCACGCCACTCGGCTCTGCCCCAACTTGGCACAAGAAACCCCACAAGACCGCTTGTCTAAGGTTAAAACCCTGGAACTGTAAGTGTCCCCTCGGTCAAGCGGCCCCTGATCTGCTTGCTCTAGGAAGCTGGTCTTGGAGCCGCCCTTCGTCCTCGCCCCACTGCTGCTGGCCCACTTACCCCTCAGCACCCCAGGCCTGCTTTCCCAGTCAGCCTGGAACCCAACCCAGCTATTATTATTATTTTTTTCTTTGACAGTATGTAATATTTTTATTAAGCTTTCACTGAACAACATCTTTTGCAGTTTTGGAGTTCTTCCAATGCCTCAGTCAGTCAATTAGAAGAAAGATAATTTCAAACATAGAAAATAATGACTACTAAATAAAATTATCTTTTTTTCCTGAGCTATTATTTTTCTTAAGGCCTCAGGTGGCCTTCAGGAGAAGACCCATCCCCAAGGAGGCCCTCAAATCTTGCCCCCCGCCCCCCTGCAGTTCTGCTTCCAGGCTCTCAGCACACACTGTCCCTGCTGCCTGAGCTCTCCACCTCATCTGTCTACTGATTCCCACCTTGAGGACAAGCTCAAGCCTCTTCTCCTCTCCAAGGCCTCCCCAGACCCCTCCTCTCTGCCGGCTACCAACTATGCCACCCAGCAGCTGTTGTTCCAGTGTCTCTCCTTCTGGATTGGGCCTCCAAGGAAGGACGCTCTCCCTCCCTGTCACCTGAGGCAATGGGCCAGACTTGGCAGAGCACAGCGAAGGCCTGCAGAACGGATGCTGAAGGTGAAAGAAACCAAGGGCCGGGCCCCCACGATGGAGGGCAGGGAGCACACAGGTGGAGGGGAGAGCACCGGGTACTCTGATGCTCAGAGGGCTGGCCTGCCCCGTGGCCCGTGCTCCCCGGGCCCTGCACGTACAAAGCAATCACTGTTTGAGACGGGGTCCCACTATATGTCCAGGCTGGCCTCGGACTCACAGGGATCCTCCCGCGTCAGCCTCTCAAGTGCTGGGGTTATGTATACACGTCACCATGCCCAGCAGCAAAGCAGCTATGTAAACTGCAGGTTATGAGTTATTGGGGCATTAGGACATTAATTTCTTGGGCACAACCTACACTAAAAAGTAAATACAATAAAACCATATATAAGGGCCAGGGAGATGGCTCAGGAGCATAAACACTGGCCTGGCATGCTCAAGGGCCTGAGTTCAATCCCTGATTCTGCAAAAAAACAAAAAACAAACAAAAAACCCACTCCTAAAACCATATATAGTTTTATATTTAATAGTTTTAATATATTACATAGTTTTACATTTCTATAAATAGTTTTTCTTTTTGATACTGGAAATTGAACTCAGGATCTTGCACTTGCCAGGCAGGCACTTGTGTCACTGAGCTATCTCCCTGGCTTTACTGAAACTTCTTTTTTTGTAACTAAAATTATTTTATTAAAAACAAGCTCGTAGGGGCTGGGGAGATGGCTCAGTGGAATAAGTGCTTCCCTGGCAAGCACAAGGTCCTGAGTTCAATCCCCAGTTCCACCAATAAAAAAAAAAAAAAAAAAAAAAAAGCTTGTGAGCTTGTGTCTTGGAAAGCCATTATTGTATCACCCAGCAGAATGGTTTTTTTTTGTTTTTTTTTTGGTGGAACCGGGGATTGAACTCAGGGCCTTGTGCTTGCCAGGGAAGCGCTTATTCCACTGAGCCATCTCCCTGGCCCAGCAGCAGAATGTTAAAGAGCATAGATTTCAGGCTTAAAAATCAGGCCTCCCAGCCAGGGGTGTCAGCATATACCCATAACCCCAAATCTCTTGGAGGCTAAGGCGGGAGGATCCTAACTTCAAGTCCAGCCTGGGTGACTTAGCAAGATCCTGTCTCAAAAGTTTGAAAATGGTGAGGAGATAGCCCAGTGTGAAGTTAACTGGGTTCAACCCTTGTACCCACAGATGGGGAAAAAAGTCAGGTTTCCCTACCTACCTACCTGCTATGGCTTTGGGTGGACTATGCAACCCCTTGTGTCTTGGGTTTTTCATCTGTAAAACAGCAGTAACAGCACAGGCTCCTCAAGGAGCACCACGAGGGTCAAATGAGGTAAGCACAGAAGAGCTCGGAAGGGCCGCAGCAGAGGACGCAGTTCTCACCGCTAGGGCTGGGCAGAGTCTGGACTGCGGGCCTCAGGTACTGTCCATGGCTTATCCCATTTAATGGACACAGTCCTGCAGAGTGTTGCTACCTCTAGTTTAAGGATGAGGCAACTGAGTCTCAACTGAGGTGACCACCCCAGGCACGCAGGAGGCCTCTCCTCCCCAGGACAGGCGGCAGGGTGGGGCCCTGGACGGTACTCACTTGCACTCGGCCTCCGCATCAGCCTTGGCAGTTGTGTAGAGGCCGCGCAGCTTTGTTCGGAAATACGGAGAAACTATAAGCACAAGAACAGGGAGCTGTGAGCAACACAGCGGCATCCAGGACACGGACTCAGAAGCCCAGGGAGCCAGGGCCTGCAGCGTGGGCAGCCCTGGCTCAGAGGCGCTTGCGGGCGGACGCCCCATTCAGTAAGTCCACACCTCCACGCCGTACAGATGTCACCACCACACCGAGAGCATGCTGTGAACTTCCCAAGTCACAACACGTACAGAAGCTGTCTGTCGGCACAACAGACAACCCTGGCAGCCAGTCAGAACTGGAAACACCAGTGCAGGGTGTGACCACTACAGGAGGACGGGCACAGTGGGGACCAGGGGCAGCTCTGCCCCAGGAAGCCCCAGGTGAGGGGGCCATGCACTCTGAGGGTGCGTCCTCCACACAGTTCCTCGGGGCCGAGGGACGTGGAGGTGTTTCAGGGCTGAGCCACCGTTACCAGTCCAGGATCACCTCAGGGCCTCAGCCCAAGGAAACGCTGCGCCTGCGCTCTCTCAGCCCAAGGAAACGCTGCGCCTGCGATCTAAGCAGCTCTAAGCAGCGCTACTCTCTGGAAATGCAGCTAACAGGAGCGCGCCCTCCGCAACCGTGACAGCCTCACCCCAGTCAGCTCTCGCCCCCACCCCGCCCCCGCCCCCTTGTCCTCAGCTGAGCCGCTACTCACTCTTGTTCTCGGTCTGCATGCGCTCATGGGTCTTCTGGATGTTCACCAAGTTGTGTTCGCTCCGCGAGCGCTCCTCCTGGGAGACACGAGGCGCCCTCATGCCGCGCCGCGCCCGCCTCCCGTCCCGCAAACCCACCGCAAGGGAAGTCCAACTGCCTTCCCCGACTAGAGCAAGAACCACCGAAGCCATCAAAACTAAACCCTTAGTTATGTCTTCTGATAACCCTTCAGAAAAAGACAAAGTGCTCTACAGAGTCAACAGAATCTCCATAAAATTTTCGCTGATTTCTTGGCAGAAACTGACAGCTTTATCCTAAAATGTGGAGAAGTGCAGAGACCCACGTTAGCCCAAACCGGAAGAAGACGACAAGGTTGAAGGGCCACCATTTTCAGGTTCAATGTTACAGTAATCGAGATGGTGAGGTACTAAATTACAGGTCAATAAAATGGAATCAATACTCCAGAAATTAAGGCCAGGTGTGGTGGCGCACACCTGTAATCCTGGCACCTGTGAGGCTGAGGCAGGAGGACTGGTGGGAGTTTGAGGCCAGCTTGGGGTACAAAGTGAGCTCAAGGACTACACAGCAAGATCCTGTCTCAAAAAAACAGAAAAACAGAAAGGGAGGGAGGGAGGGATGGAGGGAGGGGGGAGAAAGAGGAAGAGGGGGAGGGAGGGGTGGAGGGGGGAAGAGGAAGGGGGAAGGGGGATGGAGAGGGGGAGGGAGGAAGAGGGGAGGGGGTGGAGAGAGGGAGAGGGAGGGAGGGAGGGAGGAATGAGGGAACCCCCGGAGCAGCGGCAAGCCCAACACACCAGTGTGCTACCTGTGACTTAACACCCCCATATTTATGGATGGAAAACAATTTAAAAGAAAAAGGAAGCCAGGTGGGGTGGCGCACACCCGAGCAAGATCACAGTGAGTTTACAGTCAGCCTGGGTAAGTTCAAAGACAGCTGGAACTATAAAGCCTGACTCTGTTTTGTTTTTGTTTTTTTTTGGCAGAACCGGGGATTGAGCTCAGGCCCTTGCGCTTGCCAGGTAATCACTTATTCTACTGAGCCATCTCCCCAGCCCAGATTCTGTTTTAAAAAGAAAAAAAAAAAAGGGTTTCTCGCAGGTTTATAGACATTGCCTTAAGGTCCAAAGGCCCCGGGGAGCAGCCACACAGTCCAGGAAGGCTGCATGCAGCCGAATCCTCAGGGCAGGTTACATCTCAGTGGGACCAAGGCCTGGCGAACCCTAGCTGGGAGCAACTGGCGCAAAACGTGTGTCCTCCCTTGGGAAAGAGCTTGTACTCCGACCCAACAGGACCTCCTCCTTCAAACTCATGATCCTCCTGCCTCAGCCTCCCAAATGCTAGGATTACAGGCTTATGCCACTGTGCCCGGTAAAGCATTTTTATGAGTTCAAAACTAGCCTGAACTATATAATGAGTCAATACTAGCCTTTTACCTGTCTTAAAAAAAAAAAAAAAAGAAAAAAAAGAAAAAATTGAAAAATAAAAAGATTTGTCTTTGACCAGCTCTTGCTCAACAGTGTTTGTTTATGGAATAAAAGGATAAAGATAAAAGGGCAGTGATTGGTAATGTGTGCGGGACATTTTTGGCAGGTGATAAAAGTTTTGAAATTGTGATAAAGTCTGTGAAAACCGTGTTTTCCCCAAAATAAGGCCAGGTCTTATTTATCGGTCGATTGCCTTTTTCAGACATGTCTCACTACGCAGTTCAGGCTAGCCTTGAACTCACCTTGTAGCCCAGGCTGGCCTCAAACAACAATCCTCCAGCCTCAGCCTCCAAGGGCTGCGATTATAGGAGTGTACTCACACACTTGGCTTCATATTACTTTTGTTGCAAAAGATCTAACAGGGCTTATTTTTATTTTTTATTTTATTTTATTTTTTAGCGTATTTTTTTATTTATTTATTTTACATTTATTTATTGTGTGTGTGGCCAGCTCAGCCCACCAGGGGGCAGGGCTGGAGATCGGAAGGTGGTGGGGGATTAGAATCGTGGTCCCTGCTTTGCCAAGCTTGTTCCAAGTAGGTGCTTTAGACCACTGAGCCATCTCTCCAGTCCCAAGGGCTTATTTTTAGAGAATGTCTTTTTTTTATGTATAACAATCTCCATTTTTTCACATTAAAAAAGCTATATTTATTTACATATAGTCACGTGGGGCTGGTGAGATAGTTTAGCAGTCTAACCTTTTTTTTTTTTATTTCCAGAACTGGGGATTGAACTCAGGCCCTTGCGCTTGCCAGGGAAGCGCTTACCACTGAGCCAACTCCCCAGCCCCTAAAGAACTGAGCTAAGGGGCAGGCCCCCAGCTTAGCAGTCTAAAGCACCTGCTTAGGCAAGCTTAGGCAGGCGCAGAGGACCGAAGTTTAATCCCTGGCACCACATGCTGAGCCAGCTCCATACTCAGGGCAGGCTGAGCTGAACAAAAAAAATAGTCATGCCATATTGTTGAATGTTGTTATAACTCTCTTAACCTGGAATTCTAGCCTCAATGTCTTTTTTTTTTCTTGGTACTGGGAATTGAACTCAGGACCTTACCACTGCCAGGCAGGTGCACTGCCGCTGAGGTATATCCCCGGCCCAGCCTGAATTTCTATTTCTTCTTCTTCTTCTTCTTTTTTTTTGCGGAACCAGGGATTGAACTCAGGCCCCTGCCCTTGCCAGGGAAGTGCTTATTCCACTGAGCCATCTCCCCGGCCCCCAGCCTGAATTTCTTGTGACTCCATCTCCCGTGGACCATAAGCATCCATCGTGTGCAGCAACAGAGCTCTCCTTAAACAAGCACCTCCCACCCACGAAGCCTGCCTGTTCCAATGCATGACAGACTGAATTATGCAGATCTGTATCAGCCACAGCCACGTCCTTCCCTTACCAAGTGTGCGATCTGTGCACTGGGGCTGCACCCAGCTAGCCATCTGGCACCAAGTCTTGAGCTCATCTGTTTTCATGGGCATTTACTTTCACCCTAAGGCACCCATTTGGCTATTTACAAATACTTAGCTAGCACTCACATTATCACTTATTTTATTTTTTTTTAAATGTATTTAGTACAGGTTTACAGGGTTTCACTATGTAGATCAGACTTGTAGTGATTATCCTGTTTTCAGACTCCAAAGCACTGGGATTACAGGTGCCACCACGCCAGTCTCAATCGCTGTCTCAGTGCCTTGGAGGGCGGGTCTGACATGCTATGCTGGGGATCGAATCCCGGCCACTGCGCTCTGCCTAAGCAGGTGCTTTAGTCTGCTGAGCTATCTGGCTGGCCTGTATGTTATCATTTATTTTAAATACAAATGTCAACATTTATTTACAGTTACACATTATTTTTTTTCTGTATTTTAAGGAGGGGTCTACAGTGTGTTCAGGGTCTCACTACTAGACTGGATGCATAGTGATCCTCCTGTTTACAGCCTCCCAAGAGCTGGGATTACAGGTGCGCGCCACCATGCCCACTCTCAATTGCTGTCTCAGTGCGCCTCAGGGGCGGGGACGGCACAGCAGGCCTGGGGATTGAACACCCTGCCCCTGTGCCTGCTTGCAGGCGCTTTAATCCACTGAGCTATTTGGCCGGCCCTCATTAAAATTGGTTTATAACTCAATACATGTGGTGTGTGTTGTAACAGATATACTAAATGTATCCATCTGGCTGACATCTGAACTGGGGCTTATTTTGGGGTAGGGTTTATATTATGAGAACCCTGAGAAATCCTGTTAGGGCTTATTTTCTGGGAAGTACAATCTACTAAAAGCCAATGAAGGGGCCGGGGAGATGGCTCAGTGGAATAAGCGCTTCCCTGGCAAGTGCAAGGGCATGAGTTCAATCCCCGGTTCCACAAAAAAAAAAAAAAAAAAAAAAAAGCCAATGAACTCTACAGTTTACATAGGTGAATTGTGTAGTATGTAGTCCATCTCTCAAAATCCTACACAAAATGAATTCAAATATTTTGCACATAGCAAAATCCAATAGCACTGGCTGTCATACTTAAAACTCCCCTCTCCTCCCCCTTATTAGAATCTCCTCAGCTCCCGCCTGCCCATCTCTGGGAACACAAGCCCACCCTGGCCCACTCTGGCTCGGCATGAGCACCTGCCCCGCTCTAGGGGCAAAGGACCGTGTCATTCTACCTGGGTTTGCTTGATTAGCTGATGGAGCTCCGAGAGAAGTTCTGCGATGCGAGAGTCAGCAGACACGAGGGCCATGGTACGGTGTGGCCCGCGGGGGAGCGGAGGGGGCTTTGCTGCTGGCTACCGCGGGTTGGACTCCAGCCCTTCGAAAGACAGAAGGGCGGGTGAGGGGGCTGATGGCTGCATCCCAGCGCTCAGAGGCTGAGGCTGGAGGATCCCAAGTTCAGCCCGGGCCAAACAAACAATACAGTGCAGAGCTACAGTTCAATTTTGAGTTCAATTTCCAAAATAAAAATAAAAAGTCAGTCTCTACCAGAATACTCTCAGACTATTTCCTACTTTGCAGAAGAGATATTTCCCCTTTATAAATTCCTTCCTTCAGTTATGTTTGCTAACCAGCTACTCTCTGGCAGGCCTGAGGGTTACACAGTAGTGCATGAGATAAACAGGCTCTGCCCCTTAGGAAACAGTTCAGAAAAAAAAGCAGACATTAAATACAGTCATGCAGAATGACATTCCTCAACAACAGGCAAATACATAATGGTGGTCCTGTATCACCTTGTATTTTTACGGTACCTCTTCTACATCTAGACGTACAAATACCATCTTGTGACAGCTGCCTCCAGCATTTAGTGAAGCTGACACGTGTGCAGGGTATTAGCCTGGCTAAACCACACACCCACAGCACGTAGTCTAGGTATGTAGCAGGCTACACCATCCACGTTTGTGTAAGTACACCCTACGATGAAATCACCCAGTGATACATTTCTGAGAATATATTCCTGTCAGCAAACAAACAACAACAACGACTACAGTTCCTTTTTTTGTTTGGTTTGAAACAGGGTCTTGGGTCTTCCTGTGCAGTCCAGGCCATCCTCAATTCATATCAGTCCTCCTGGCTTAGCCTTCTAAGTGCTGGGATTACAGGCTACAACTGACTCAGAAGCAAAACTTCAAAATCTCAAGGATCAGCAGGTTGCTAAGAGGCTGCTGGAGAAGGAGAAAAGCGCATCATGGGTGTCTCATGGTTTCTGACCAAAGACACTGGAAGAGTAAGATTTGAGGTGTGGTTTGTGAAGGACAAAACTCAAAATTTATGGGGCCAGGAGGATGGCTCAGTAGAATAAGCGCTTTTCTGGCAAGCGCAAAGGCCTGAGTTCAATCCCCGGTTCAACCAAAAAAAAAGCCACTCAAAATTTCTGTTTTGAACACAATCAAAATGCCAATAAATATTTAAGAGATGTTACACCAGAGCTGAATTTTATGAATCCTTATGAATCTTGAGTTCAAGGCAGAAAGAACACTGAGCTTAAGATAGAAATTTGATAGCACAATAAAAGGTATTTATATTTACAGTACAAAATAGGGAAAGCTAAGGGAGGAAATAGACAAAAGCCATCTAGTGTTAGGCCTCGGCGTAATACAGCTATTAAAAATACAGAAAACGCTCACGCCTGTAATCTTACTACCCGGCAGGCTGAGGCAGGAGGCTCCTTGTGAGATTAAGACCACCCTGGGCTACAAAGTGAGCTCAAGGCCAGCCTGAGCTACACGGTGAAGCCCTTTCTCAGAAAGACAGAAAAAAAAGAAAAAAGAAAAGGGAGCAAAAATCATTGAAAGAGAAGCCAGAGGCAAGGCAAGAGGATGGCTAACAAGCCAAAGGAAGGCATTTGGAGAACTGCAGCACATTCTGCTAAGAGACAAGAACTAACCCAACACTGAACTGGACAACCCAAACCTCACTAGCAGCTTGGGCAAAGAGCTGTTTCTTTAGCGTGGTGGAGCCAAGGACTCCTGGAGTGGGCTCAAGAGAGACTGGGAGTGGACAAGGCTCTGGTGGGCACACACTGAAGCCTTTGGAGGTAGCCAGTGGGTGAACGACGACGCTGGGTTGCTTTTATCTTTCTGAGACAGGCTCTCACTATGCAGTTCAAGCTGGCCCTGAGTTCACTTTGTAGCCCAGGCTGGTCCCGAACTCACAACGATCCTCCTCCTCAGCCTCCCAAACGCTGGGATTACAGGTGTGCCCCACCACACCCGGCCTTTATTTTTGGAGGTGCTGGAGATTGAAGCCAGAAAACTTTCCCCAGAACACACATACACACGTATTTCTTTTGGACACGCTCTTGCTAAATTGCCAGTTTCCTGGACTCGCTTCAAACTCGGAATCGTCCTGCCTCAGTTCCCCAAGCAGCCGCGCGTACAGGCATGCGCCACCACGTCGGCTCTATTCTCTTTCAGAAGACGGGTACTTCTGGTGCAAAGAGTAGAAAGCGCGGGCGCGCAGGGGTCGCCCCGACAGCCGGTCCTCCTGCACCGGTTTAACATCCCAGCCCCGGCGCAGCGCGCAGGGCGCAGGCGCAGGCGCAGGCGCACGGGGCCTCCCCAGCCCCTCCCCGCGCCAGCCGGGGCGCGTGCGCGCCGCAGCCCAGAGGCGCCCAGGCAGGCGAGACAGGGAACGCGGGCCCACAGAGGAGGTCGCGGTCGGCCGTTCCCCAGTTTCTCCTGAGTTCCCAGGCCACGGCCTAGCCTCACCCAGAGAGTTCCAGGCGAAAGAAACACTGTCACTGGGAGTTGCAACGGCGGGAACAGGCGAGTCCTCGAACACTTCCTTAGTCCGCGGGCCGCAACACACTTCCGTTCATAGACTGGCGGCCCTCGAGAACCACACAAGCTTTTTCCCTTTTTGTAAGCGTGGGCCAGTGCGGCAGACCCTTCTACGCATGCGCACGTTGGCGCGCTGCGCTGCCTCCTGGGAAATGTAGTTTCCACTTTGGCACGTGTGCCTCGCTGTGAACTGAGTTCTAATAGAGCAAAGCAGAATCACCGAAAAGCCGCCTGATGTTGATTCATGAAAGAAGGGTCCCCAAGGAGTATATGAGACCTATATACTTTCAGCTCAGGTTTGTCGAAACTCTAAAACTGCTCTAAAGAATAAAGTCTATGTATAATGTAACCGCTCCCCAAGATAATTGTAAAGGGCGTGAATTACAAACATGTATTAATAAAATAAAAAATTTGTAAAAATTGGAAATAAATTATAAACAAGCAGATCTTTCGACACAGAAATTACACATTTACAGAATCTTACTAGAAAATGAAGGATGTGGACATGCGAACATTTAGTTATGATAGTTGTATTTATCAAAAGCTATTCTGATAGGATAAGGTGGAGCACACCTGTAATCCTAGTACTCGGGAGGCAGAGCCAAGAGGATCCTTCTGAGTTCTAGGCCAGCCTGGATTATGTAAATGAGTTCAAGGCCATCCGCATTACATAGTGAGACCCAGCCTCAAAAAAAAAAAAAAAAAAAAAAAAAAAAGAAGAGGAAAAGAAGGGAAGAAAGAAGAGAAAAGAATACAAAAAGAGAGAGAAGAGGGCTGGGGAGATAGCTCAGCAGCATAAGCATTTGCCTGGTAAGTGCAAGGTCATGAGTTCAATCCCTGATACCACAAAATAATAATAATAAGAAGAAAGCTACCCTGATATAATTTTTTATGTAACCCCTACAAGAGCCTATAACTATGTACTTGCTTGTTGATTATTTGATAAATTTGCAAACTATATGAAGTTTTGCTCTGGGTTTTCTCAGTACCCAGTGCCTTGCACATAGTAGGCCATGGACACTTGTGTATGTAATAGATTCTCAAACTTCAACACAAACTATTTCCACTCAAATATTAGCGAATCATTTTGTCATCACACTTGCACTGCTTTGGTTTCTAGCGCAGTCAGTGACACAACTATCCAAACCTCAGTTCTGTATTCTGGTTTTGTGAATATTATGCTACGAGGGATTTCACAAATTTCACATTTATAGAGTTCTCAAGGGTTGTCTCCTTCTTCTTCTTCTTCTTCTTCTTCCTCTTCTTCTTCTTCTTCTTCTTCTTCGGAATCAAACTCAGGACCTTGCATTTGCCAAGCAGGCGGTGTGCCACTGAGCTATATTCCCAGCCCCGGAGCTGTCTCTCTTGAGTGTCAAACATCCAGTGCATTTGCTTAGTGGGAAAGATTTGGGGTTCACAGTTGTGTAGAAAGTTCATCTTGTATTCCTTACTTTTTTTCCCTTTCTTTTCTAAAGTAGACATATGTCAATGTTTAATTTTTTTATTTTTATTTTTGTAAAACTGGGCCATTTTAATGTTTTTACAATTTAATAAATAGTTTTCTTTTTCTTTTTTTGCAGTACCGGGGATTGAACTCAGGACCCTGCACTTGCCAGGCAAGGGCTTATTCTACTGAGCTATCTCCCGGGCCCCAAATAGTTATCTTGATGAATGTAGTCATGAAAGTTGTTCAGTCGTATTCAAATTATGGTTTTCCTGATTGGTCTGTAGTCGTCAATAAGTGTAAGAAGTTACTGTATGAAACATCTGTCAAAACACTCCCATATGGGCCACAACTGAAGACCAAGACAAAAAAAGGAAACACAGCTACATACTTCCCTAGGGATAGGCATCAGGGATTGATATCCTAACTAGGTATCAATTGCCTTAAAAGGGCCCAAATGAGTCACTAACCCAACCCCAACAGGAAGACACCTTGTCCTGTATTCATGCCCCCTTGCTATGTGACTCGCTTCCCCATTTGGTCCTGGATTTAATCAATTTTACCTGAGCAATGGTGCTTGTGATCTCATTGGTTGACCAAAGTTTTGTCCCACCTCATGCCCACCTAAGCGAGTTCCATGTGCTCCACTACCTTAGTCTCGCCTCACCGCATGGTTTTCCTCTATAAAAGTCCCTGGAAGTGACAGCTTCCCGGGGAACTACCCACTCGGGGCCCCCCTCCTGTCCCTCTCTTGGTCAGGAGCATTCTTTCCCTCAATAAATATATTCTGCTCATTAAAAGAAAGAAAGAAAGAAACATCTGTTGAATTAGTAAGACTGCACTGATGCAGCCATCATTTCAGGATTGTTGGTCACCGGGGCATATTGACCCCCCATAACCTTGCCTCCTTGTGTCACAAGGCCTCACGTTCGCCTCAATCACTGTTCCTCTGGTAATAACACTCAGAGTTGTATACAGTGGCGATGAAGGGTTCTTTTTCACACCAAGTATTGGCAGGCAAGAGGCGGCTTTCAGTTCAGGATGTGTTCCACGGGCCTTCTTAAAACGGAAGCCCGTTGGCCTAATGAATCTTTCGTACTTAGGTGGTTTTCTCGTAAAACCATCTCCAACAAAGCAGGCTTTAGTAACCCTCCTCTTCCATGCCTTCTTTTTTCTCTTTCCAGTTCAAATAACTTTTCATACTTCCGTTTCTCCTTGCGCACGAACTTTGGGCAGAGGAACTTTCCATTTGCCCACCTTTTTGTTTCTGCTTAATCCTGTTGGAAAGTACTTTTGCACGAGACTGTCCCTCTCTGTCCAGCAGGTAGGCAGGACTGCTCCTTGTGGATTCTTTTCATCATTCTTTTGTTTGGTGTTTCTCTTTTCATGCATCTTGACAGTCCTCTTCATTTGTATATTCTCTGCATGCGCTGTTTGTGATAGAGCTTAGCCTTCGGGCCAATTTTTTTTTTTTTTTTTTTCCTTCTTTGAATGTTCATGAGCCTCTTGACTTCCCTTCTGTCTCTTTTTCTCATGGTAATCCAAGCGGTACTGATAGCATTTATGGTGTAATTCAATATATTCATTCTGTGGCATGATGACAGCTGCAGAGCCAAAGCGGGCAGCCTCAGGTGTGCAAAGAAAAGTCCTAACTTTAGGGTGTCCCAGATGCACGAGCTGCCTCTGCGCCTCAATTTTTTAAAGTGTGGGGTTTCAGCAAATGTACTAATAAAAATGTGTTGGTTTTGGTTTTGGTGATGTTTATGTTTTGTTTTAATTTTTTTATTATTCCAATTAAGGGTCTTGATATGCAGTTCCCACTCCCAGTGCTGGGATTACAGGCATGCCCAGTTTTGGGCCAACATGGCATGCAGTACCAGGAATCAAACTTGGGACCTTGCACTTGCCTGGCGGGCCACCAGCCTATTTTATTTTGAGACAAGGTTTCTTTATATAGTTTAGGCTGGCCTTAAACATGTGGTGATCCTCTTGCCTCAGCCTCCTGAGTACTGGAATTACAGGTGTGTACCACCATGCCCATCTCTGAAAGTTTAGTTGGTGTTATGGTTTAACCCTAAAACGTTCCCCAAAGTCTCCTGTGTTTGGAGAGGGAGTGGGTCTTAGGTTGCTGTGCTCATCAGGGGGTTGTTCATTGATGAACTCAATAGCTAAAAGCACAGTTAGGAAGTGGGGCTTGGTAGGAGGTGGTCACTGGAGGCAGTGACCTGGAAGAGTATATTTTTGGCCAGGCTCCTTCCTCTTTTTTAAAAAATATATTTTAGGGAAGGGTCTACAGGGTGTTCAGGGTCTCACTACTAGATTAGACTTGTAGTGATCCACCTGTTTACAGCCTCCCAAGAGCTAGGATTACAGGCACAGGCTACCATGCCCAGTCTCAATAGCAGTCTCAGCATGCCCTGGGGGCGGGGCTGGCACAGCAGGCCCCAGGGATGGAACTCCCAGCCCCTGGCTCTGCTTTAATCCACTGAGCTATTTGGCAGCGTCAGGCTCCTTCCTTCTCTCTCTGCTTCCTGGCTGCCGTGGGCTGCACAGCTTTGCCCTCCCAGAGGTCCCTAACCAGGCTGTTTATGTGGTGGAGACAGACAACCATAGGCTGAGTGTGTGAGCCAAAATAAACAGCTCTTTTTTTAAAAATGTATTTAGTACAGGGTCTGCAGGGTCTCATTACACAGATCGGACTCAGTGATCCTCCTGTTTTCAACCTCCCAAGCACTGGGATTATAGGCATGTGCCACCACACCCAGTCTCAATGGCCATCTCAGCGTGCCCCAGAGGTAGGGCCAGCACTGGAGATTGAACCCTGGTCCCTGTGCCTGCCTAAGCAGGTGCTTTAGTCCGCTGAGCTGTCTGGCTGGC